TTGCCGAACTAGGCTGGAATTACTGGGCTCGATCGTAGCGCCACCAGTGGCTATTACCAATTATGTCCGTTCTAAGCCTCTTCTAAGGACCAATCAGATTCCACCTCTCGTATCACTTGCGTTTGCTTCACACAAAATGGTTGCGCCCGGATGATCTGATCTGATGATCTGATCGATAATCAATATCTATATTGTGATAAAAGGGGTCTTACATCGCGAAAAGCATCAAATCACGTGAGCACCTTGATTAAAAACATGAGAAGATTTTGAAAATATCTGCTGACAACGAGTTGGTGGTGCACATGCTTTGCAAATCCTGCAATCGACCGAAATCTGCACGACAGTTTGCGAACCGGATTTCAATTTAGGTGCGCGATTTTGATTGGACTATGCATAGACTCGTTAGTCCAGCCAAAATGTAACTCCATAATACCATCCTAGTTCGGCAAGGGTGGAAACTGGGCTTTTATAGTCAGTTAACTCTCTTGCCTCGGGAAGATGTACCTTTGTCTGTTTAAGGAAATCTAACGTCTGTCTTTTTATGTAAAATACTTGATTTCAGAGACTAGATGTTAGTCTAGATTTGCTGTAGAGTTGGATTAAAAAATAGCAATGATGTAAGGAAGTATTTGTCGGGTGAAATATTATGAAAATTAAACGAAAGAAATGTGCGGTTTGAATTGTTGCTTTGACTGACAAGAGTTACCGTCTGTATTGGGCTACCCGCGATATATAATTATAGCATACATTTAGAATCATTCAAATCTCGGCGTAGAATAGAGAGTTGAAAAGTGTATTATAATCCACATTTGAGGACGTATGGGACAGTTGAGCCACAAACATGTTATAGAAACACTATTTATGTAACTCCCTTGGAGATCTCACCCTGGAGAGCCCCTTATCGGGATTCAGATAAAGGCAGGATGTTTAATGTTTGACGTGAGCGCTGAAACAATGAATAGCTTGAGATGACGTCCACAGAGCGTCGCACAGAAGGATGGTATGCGAACTGAAGTGTCGAGGGGAAAGTGAACGTTTGTGTTGTGGTTTTATGAAACCCGGTCTTTAGTCACTGGTTTTCGTTCTTAAACCGCGCATATTTCTTTCAGTTGAACTCAAACGCTTGTCTTCACAATGATTGCCATTTGATCACGTGAATACTTTGCCATCCATAATTGTACCCATAGAGAATTAATTTTTATAGAATTGTGTGCTGCACGTGCATTTCCTGCACCAGGTGTTTGTTGGTGGAACTGGAAGGGATCACGTTGACAGAACACCGCGTGCATTGCTGCACGTGCAGCACGTGCTGTACATGCACCAGGTGTTAGTTGGCTGATGTTTTGGTGAGATAGAGGACTCATGACCTTACATATTCAGGAAGTAAAGTTAATCTAATTCCCGAGAATCAGAATGTGTGTTTTCCCTGACGCATGTGCCTACTTTCACGGATATGGGGTTGTGTCAATGTACGTTCGATGTACGTGTGTTCCTGCATCGCTTATCGTTAGTCGTCGCACCAGGAAGTCGTGGACATTTGTTATGCAATGAACCACTGTCATTCCTGGGCAATATGTGCGTCGTACAGTTGGAAACTTGCCCCAATCGTTGGGTGTGGTGAATTAAAGTAAATCTTGTTTTACACTGCAGTCGCTCTTTACCAGCGATCACGGCAACCTGTAAATAGTCGAGTTTAGGCAGTAACAAAAAAAGAATATGCCGATATGCCAATCAGTGATATTTCAGTATTATCTCGACATCAACCATTTCAAGTTGTCATCCCGGAGTTTTCAGCGCGGGTACGTCCGTTGACACTCTTCGATATGCTTTTGATTATGTTCTTATCACTAGCCACGAAGTGGTGCGGGGGATATAGAAATGGAGTTCGTCCGTCCGCCCATCCGTTTGCTTCTCAAAGTGGACAGATTTTAAAGTCGGAGAAATAAAATTTTATACACTGATGTTACTGGTCATGATCTCAAATGAGTTCGAAAATTGGTGTCGTAAAATCATTTTTTACAGAGTTATGGCCCTTGCCCCGTGCTTTCTCTCCCAACCCCCCTCCGGTGTCCACCGTCCATGGATAACGGAGACGTAAAATCTCACCAGCTCCCACACTCGCTCTAATTGAACATCATAATCAACAAACTTTACTCCGATACCATTTCTCTCTGCGTAGCCAATGCTTGTAGCAGACGACTGCTGGCTTATTAGATGGTGGGTGGTTTCTGCATCCGATGCATCGACTAACAGGGATGGGTGATCAGGCTTCGTGACGCGGCTATGTGTACTTATGAAGTGAAGACTAACAGTGATGGGTGATCAGGCTTCGTGACGCGGCTATGTGTACTTATGAAGTGAAGACTAACAGTGATGGGTGATCAGGCTTTGTGACGCGCCTATGTGTACTTATGAAGTGAAGACTAACAGTGATGGGTGATCAGGCTTCGTGACGCGGCTATGTGTACTTATGAAGTGAAGACTAACAGTGATGGGTGATCAGGCTTCGTGACGCGGCTATGTGTACTTATGAAGTGAAGACTAACAGTGATGGGTGATCAGGCTTTGTGACGCGCCTATGTGTACTTATGAAGTGAAGACTAACAGTGATGGGTGATCAGGCTTCGTGACGCGGCTATGTGTACTTATGAAGTGAAGACTAACAGTGATGGGTGATCAGGCTTCGTGACGCGGCTATGTGTACTTATGAAGTGAAGACTAACAGTGATGGGTGATCAGGCTTTGTGACGCGCCTATGTGTACTTATGAAGTGAAGACTATCTCCTGAGACCTACAGTGGGTACCCGAGTAGGGTCGGGTAATAGAGGGGTGGGTACCCGGGTATTAAATTTGGACTCGTCCCAGCCCTAGCTTCCCGATACCTTTTACGTGTCCTAGATTCCATGATTTGCAGTCACCAGGCGTTGAAACACTTTCTCCTACTCCTCATCCATATGTTTTTTTGTGGAATACTTTTGAGAAAACAGATGAGTTCGACTGAACCTAAACGAGTTCTTTCTCCTTGAACATATGCAACGCCGCAATGACGTCAAGAGTTACTGACAATGACCTTCTACATAACCCGCACGTGCAAGGGCAGTCCACCAGATAAGGTTACACAGATGTTGCATTCGCTCCGTTCACAAGTGTTAAATTGTTCCAAACAAATGTAAATACCCCTCTTGCTGCTGGAATGATTCTCTTAGTGAAAGTGTTATCACAGGTACAACGTTTTTGGTTAGCCTTGTACATATAGATGGTTGTATTATTAATTTCGGCGCGACTCGTCCATCATTTGAGATGATGACGTTACCGCAGTAGTTGAAAGTTGTGTTTTTTGTGGCGGTGGTAGTCCTGTTATTAATAGGAGGGTAGACTGAGATTTAGTTCCAGAAATATTGTTATCTTATTTCAAAATATATGTCTACAAAATAAGAGTGAAATCCAAATGGAGCCTAGAACAATGCTTAATGTAAGGAGCTAGAGGCAATCTATGGAGTTGGATCTACTTTTTAATTTTTTTCTCAAGGGTCTGGGAGATAGTCTTTACGGGGGTTTGGTTGGGGTGGTCTTATTTAGTCAATAAATTGTTGAAAACTATCGGTGCTTATCCTGATTTCGGTGTTTTGATGTATGATGGGACCATTGGGTTGTCTAGATGCAAAAGCGATCGGCACGCCAGAGTTGCTATATAATTAATGCCGACACGACGCTAAATTTTAACTCACTCGCTCGGCACGCCAGAGGCCCGGGTTCGATTCCACACGCGGAAAGAAATTTAAACATGGCGGAAAACCAGTCACTCCCTTTCATGTATTTTACCTCTTAGAGCCCTCTAGCTTTGGTCGTATGTTGTTAATAACAATAATGGGTATCAACCCGGTTGGAACAACACGGAATCTATGATGGTCTCTTGTCGTTCTTCAGCTGTTACGATGAGCAGGATAAGAATTTCATTTACGTCAAGTGTTCCATCGTTTCACAAAATACAATTCCGACCCACGTTAACATACTGTATTTGTTTTGAGTCGTTTCGCTAGTCATTATCGCCCGTATGGACTCTTTTTATTGCTTAAAGCGGCTTAAAACCGTACCTACACACTCTTCCAAAATTAATATGATCTATACCGAACGTTTTAATCGTAGAATTAAAATTAGCAGCATTAACATAGACTGTCAGAAAATAGTATTCTTGAAACTGTCGAAATCCTTGTAATAGTAGCCTTAGGTACAGTCGTGGTAGTAGAAGACTTTGACGTGATCTAACACTTAGCATGGTAAGCATTGCTCTTTCATTCGAATTCTGCAACCTATTTGCACTTGGGGCGATGGGGTAGCCTAGTGGATAAAACGCTCGCTATCGCGTCACCTTAGTCCAGGGCTAGAAGGTCGAACAATAACTAGCACTGCAAAAGGTTATTTTTGTCCTCGTTATCGCGGCATTATGCGATGAACTATCACTCTTGAGTGACATGGCGTATTTCATGAGTCGCCGATGATGCCAGAAAAACTGAAGCCATGTTTGGTGACACGTACAAGGTTGTGTTTTATCTCTTCACAAGGCACTTCCCACTCCCCCACCCCTTCCAGGGTCGCAGCTGGATCGGCGCTGTCGTCACCAGCGGAGATCACATCAGATCACACTGAGATATTTGGGTGAAACTGCTGTTTCTTTGATATGATCAAATCAAATTAGGTTCCAGATATAGTTTTGAACTGACTCAGCAATTACGGCAACCTTGACATTTATCTGTTTGATTAAAGAAAAATACGCTTTGGGTTACATTTTGTAGGATCAGTTTTGAAGGATGCGACGAGAATAGTTATTGAATACAACTTTGTATTTAATAGTGAAAAGGATGGCAAGTGCTACGCCACCGTCTCTTTACGGACCAGCTGTGTTTCAAGGGGAAATTCGTTATGCTTACATTTCTTTTGATAAGGTCCTTTCGAAAGCGCATATTGAGTGATAATCCGAAATCGTTTTTTGTTTGTTTCAGATGCAGTTCTGGTGATATTGGATGGCGAAGGGTGCATCGACGCTTGACTACTGGACACTGTCCAAAATTAAATGGCTTCACTCATTGAACGAATGAAATGAGATATATTTTATTCTGACAACATCAGTTGGTGGACTTTACTGAAAATAAGCAGAACTCCAAAACTGTTGAATATTTCTCGTTGAAACTTGCTATACAGATCGGTCGAGTGGGGAACTAGTGCCTTTAGATGATTTGGGATTTTGAAAAGTGTTGATAAATACCTATTGCGAGGATCGATGCTCATGATATTAATCACTGGATTGTCTGGTCCAGAGTCGATTATTTACAGACCGCCGTCATATAGCTGGAATATTGCTGAGTGCGGCGTTAAACAACAAACCAACCAACCAACGATAAATACTTTCTTCTTTACTAACTGAAGGTATTCAATGGCAATGAACCAAATGACTAGCCAAACTCTTATCTGAATTGCACCAGACCGGGGGATATGTCATCTCCTGATGACTCTTGTTTATTAATTTGGAAACCCCGCGCTGACATCATCGAAGGCAATTTGGACCAGAAATTGATAAATATTGGTTCATCACGCGGACGTCAGAGGAGACGAGATGTGAAGTTACTGTTAACAAATGTCGCATGTCTGTTGCTGTGTCACGATACAAGAAGAAGAAATGATTTCTTGTGCGTGTCACAGTAACAAAACATGGTCATATAGAACGTCTCGATTGAAGCAAAGCAAGAAGACCTACCGAAAGATCAATAATAAGGAAATGTTGTTGTGGACGACATCGCTAGATCAGCGAAGACACACAAATTATGATATTATGATGTCAGTGGGTTTTTATATACAGTTTTCTTGTAAATATGTTCGTAATGATCTTTCCGAATAAATGTTCAGATTTTTTGTTGAATCAGTTTTGCTGACTATGCTTTTTCTTCCGCCTCGATATTGCAAATACTATAGGTATATTAAAGCAAAGACGTATATACGTCTTTGAATATAGCCACGTACATTTGCCGACTGACCGCCTCCGTGGTGTAGTGGATAGAGCCTCTGCCCGGAGAGCGGAAGGTCGGTGGTGCGATCTCCGGCCGCGTCATACCAAAATAGAAATACGTTAAAGGGGCGGTCGGGTAGCCTAGTGGTTAAAGCGTAAGCTCGTCACGCCGAAGACCCGGGTTCGATTCCCTACATGGGTACAATTTCTGGTGTCCCCCGCCGTGATATTGCTGGAATATTGCTAAAAGCGGCGTAAAACCATACTCACTAACTCACGAATACGTTAAAAGATGGTACTTGTTGCTACCATGCCTGGCGCTCGGCAATAATAAAACAATGTTGTATCAAACCGTGGCATGTTATCTCAGTTGGCTAGCACCATCTAGTGCACAAACAAGCGTGACCGTCGCTAAATAATTTTGAATGCGACGTTAAACCCTATTTCACCTCACCTCACCCACACTTCAGTACTGCAGATCAATCTTAAAAACTAGATCATTTTGAAATCAAGCACGCCCTCACTCTGTCCACGTTTATTTTGACGGTTTAATTATTCGTTTATCCACGAGACATTTAACACATGATCCGCTCTACCTGAATTCGGAGCGGCAAACGTTTATATTTTACGACGCTTCCTGAAACCTAAGATTTTAAGATGCCCTGACAACATTCGGCTCGTCCGCCAAATAATTCTCTCTGTGGCGGAGGTAAAGATGACGGAGTTTACAATCAACAGCTTTCTCTCTATTGATCTAATTTACACATAGAAGAACAGAGATAACAGGAAAGACAATGTTTATGTCATGTGAGTGACCACCCAAAGGTCTGGGTCAGAATATTTAACTGGGTCCAATAGCTGTGGAAAGAACAGGCTCAGGCTCGGGACTTGCAATTGAGTGATTGAAAAGTGGCATCATGAGAGATGCCTTAGATCCTTGCTGATGCATTCAGTCGACGTGGTGTGCCTGGTCAAGACTCTTGAGGTTCATCTCAGTTTGATATGGCTTAAATATGTGAATGCTTACAGGAGGCTATCCATCATACCTTCAACAATTGTTATTTTGTTAAAAGGCGACTATACTTGTCGTAAAGGCAACTAACAGGATTTGGTGGTCAGGCTCGATGACTTGGTTGATGCATGTCATCGATCCCAATTGCATGGATCGATGCTCATGATATCAGTCCCTGGACTGTCTGGTCCAGACTGGATTATTTACAGACCGCCGTCATATAGCTGGAATATTGCTGAGTGCGGCGTACAACAACAAACCAACCAACCAACCAAAAATCATCAACATTCATCAGCTCCTGTCACTCACTACTCAAGGGGATATTTATTTCAATTACATCACAGAAAAGTTAATGGGGGAGTCGTCCCAAAGGTGATAAAGCTTTAGAACTTTGTTAAAAGCCCACTCACTCACATGGGTGTTGATAATCAAAAGGTCACATACTCAAACCTAATCATAATCAGTTCCTGGCATGACTAAGGGACACAACTCTACACAGTGATTGCAGCACCAGGCCATAGGGCAACCCATTCCCTGGCAATGCAAAACAGATTTCTCCAAAGATTTAAAATTGTAAAAAACTAAGACAAGTCCATTTGTAACAAAGAAGGGATTTTTATTACAATGAAATCATATTGACAATGGTCTGTGAGCGCATAGCTACATTGCACAAACCCTCTGTTTAGTGGACAGCCCCTTATAGTCACCATATTTACACAGGAAAATCCATCTCAACATCATCTGCTTCATAACATTAAACACTGGAACTGTCCACCCTTCACAACAACCTAACTGATCAATCTACAAGACAGCCAATATGCATGCCCCCAGCTTCACACATCTGGAACAGTGAAACTCTGCTTTCTGGACAATTGGAAGGTCTAGTTCTAACCAAAGTGATATTAAAATGCATACAGAACTTATATAGTCTGGATGATTTTGCTGAAAAAAGGAGTACCAGGAATAATTGAGATTGAATAAGGTTTTGCTGTATACACATTCTCTAGTTCAATTGTGGTAAGGCCCAGTGCTTTAATACATGCTTTTGTCACAGGAACGTGATACCATTTGTCAAGATTAGGAGGATTTTGTGTCATAATTGCCTCCATCCTGTGGAAAAACCCTCCCCCTCCTAGAAACAGCCCTGACTGCAGCCTCCTATGAGTGAGTAGATTTTAATGCTGCTGTAAACAGTATTCCAGTTACAACAGGGCATGTCAGCTTACTGTGGGAGGAAAGCCCCAAGTGATGCATGTCTAAGACTTAACCACTTTGGTGAAACCCACAAGCAAGAGTATGTATGGTGCTGACAAACCTAGAAACATAATCGGGGCGAACTGTGATTCAAACCCACACCATATTCTAATATACTGATATAAGTCCATTTAGTACAAAAGACAAACAAACTTACATCTTGAAGGTGGCATGTCTACATTGTTCCTTAAGTACCAATAACGCAAGAGTTAACAATCCTAACTCCATCATTAGAATTCTTGTATTTTCTCAAGCAGTAATTTGTTATCACAGATTATCATTCTCAAACTACTTTCTCAAAGACAACATTGTTTTTTCAAAGCCTGTCTTAATCTGGTACAAGTTACCTCACAATTACATGACTGTACAACATGGTCAATACTCTGCTTCCTACAGTACAGTCAATATTTGTCTGAGCCAAAATTTCATCTCCTTTCAATGCAGTTTAACAAAGGAAATACAATAGAATATTTTTAAATGTTTACCATTTCAACAGAAGATACTACCCTAAGACTGCAAATGCTCCTAAAACTGAAGTAGCCTCCTCACTAAGGAATATTTATTGAATGGGGATGTACATCCTGATATGTAAGGAACAACCTTCTATATAAACAACATAACTTATTTTTTCTAAAACAAAAGTATATTTTTTCAAGTTTTTTTAAATTTATACAAAATCTTTATTCTAGATTGGTAAACATAGGATTTCGATTTGAATGTTTCAAGAAAGGTACTCAAATTGTTGGTTTTGATATTCTAAAAACCCATACACATTTATTACTCAAAACAAAAATCTTTTTCCATTGCAGCATGCAGTCTTAAGGGTAAATGAATCCAAACCCAAATACCAAATGTTTAGCACATCACTGTAGCCATAAATTTGTCCTAAGCATATATACAGAGTCAGTAGCTCTATCAGTGTTATCTACAATATCCTGCACATAGCATAGGTTCATCTTGTTGAAAGAATATAAGTTAACACAGACTATCTACATTAGGCACTTTGGGGTTGCTGTAAGACACTGATGCTGTTTAAAATCCTTTTTCTACTGATACAAACCTTGCTGAACAAATATTCCTTGCTGAAACAAACTTTCATGACAATGCAACATTCATTGAAACACTCATAAAATATCTCACAGCATTCACTGTCCTCTCTGGCATGGAACAGGCAAGTGAAGCAACCCTATAGGTTCCCAAGTATAGCTGCCCCTTTTCTCTTAACGACATTCTGTGTAGTATTTGTTATAAGTTAAATCTGGGTACAAATTACATACAAAATCAGAGCCAATGATCAAAATGTGAAAACAATTGTGTATATATGGACAGTTGATACATGTACCTGGTGATAATTTCACAAAACATTCACCTTATTCTGGAATATGAAATCTGTTTCTTTGGTCTGATGAATGTTGAACAGATTGAGATCGATGTTGCTGGTGTTTGGCTGATTCGAGCTTGTCATGATGAACACATCCTAATTCCCTCATTCTTTCAACAACTTAGTATTCAACAAGCACTGACAATGATGCACAATAGCATGAGTGAATGCTGCTGAAGCTGGTCGAAGCTTGAAGTGAAAGGAGAGCCCAAAATACAGCAGGCCATTTACCACAATGGTGAAATCCACAAGCAAGGAATCGGTGCTGACAGACCAAGGAACATAATCGGGTTCAATTTGGGATTTGTACCTAGGACCAGCAGGTACAGGGTCAGTGAGAAGTGCCATCGGGGATCACAGGTCCATCCTCCCCACCACCCTAAACAGGGTATCTCTTACTGGAAACAGCATCCTCGTCACACTGATCACGACAGGCTCAACACCAGTGCCAAGCATCATACACTACAACCTATTTCTCCGTGTTGAAACAAACAAGTATCACATTTCTCACTAGGGGAGGTACTAATCTAAAGAGCAGAGGTCTCGACTAGAAACACAACCAAGGAATGACAACCTGTACAAAGATCCCATTCATGAATCACGAACTATATTTTAATAAATAGGCCAGATTGATACAATTTCTTGTTTAGGTGATTTTTCTGGTCAAAATGCCAACTTGAGCAAAGTTAAAAAGTTGTTAAAAGTCCTATTTTTCAAGCAAACACTACATTTGTAAATTAATTGGGTCTTTATCTTTGCAGTAAACCTCATCCACTAAACAAAATAAACTGGTCCTGCCTCATAGAATGTCCCTTCTGCTAAATGTTTGTCAATATGTTTCTCAGCTAGCGTATCTATAGCACACAGTGAAAAGTACTGGTGAGTATGGGAGAGTATTAGATGTCAGTTTGGAGAATCCCTTGTACAAGTTGTCTTGATGATGACATAAATATATGATAAATAGGTTTGATCTTGGCCAAGCTGGTAATATCAATACAAATGCACACGTAAACAAATAAAATATAAAAAAATCATCTCTATAGACAAAATAATTTTCACTGGAAGCTACAAATATATAAAACATTGAAGTAATCCTGTAAAAACAGCTGATAGTTAGAACGGGCAAATACAGAGTTGACAGACAAATAGTGAATATAATGCTGAGCCACTTTCCACAGAGCGATCTTAGTGCTACGATTGGCATATGTCTATCTTACAGTATGGCTCTATGATAGTCTTCGCGCTAAGATTTCTTTCTTGAATAGGGCCCTGAAGAAGTTATGTTAATAAACAGACACACTTGATTCCTTATGTTCATAAAATCTTAGCACTATCAAAATTAAATTTCCAAAATGTAAACTTTGGCGTAAATAAAGTAAGCTATTTGTGCAACTACAGAGATTTTTCTTAAAAGATTTAGAAGTTTTGTGTTGACTACTTTCCATCGAACCATGAGACTTTTATTCACAAATTTAAGAGATTAGGGTATACAAAGTTCAGCTTTGATTATCACGGTTTGGGGGAGTAGCTCAACCATATACAGAAACATGTGGAGTGTATGTACACACGGGAGTATAAACTCCAACATGTCAACCCTTGTTTTACATCTGAGACACTTTTTATTCCTAAGTAGAGATAACAATATCATGTAAACAGCAAAGATTTGTTTTATGTACAATTAAGTAAAATGCTATAAAATGACTTGCTTATTTGTCACAATAGGATCATGGACATTGGAAACTTATTAAAAAGATTAAAACAATTTAAATTGAGCTAAGGATACAAAATGCATGTCAGCAAAACAGGACTGGTTTCTAGTCTAAACTGACAGTAATGATGCTGGTTTCAAAGAAACTCTCATTAATGGTCAATAAAGCTGTTTAAAAGTTTTACTCAAACAACTACATGAGTTACCCCCCTTTGACCGATCTGTCGCTACAAATACACTCCTTGAATTGAACTCGCTTTATACTGCTACATCACATGTTTCATCTGCTATTGATATAAAAACATATATCTTCATAAGCACTGAATTTTTAAGGTTTCCAGAATTTGATAAATAACAAATTTATCACAAATATCCACATCATAATATTTTTAACTATTTAACGTGAGATCATATTTTCGGCTATTATGTCAATATTCAAATAACATTTTTCGTCAGAAGCTAGCGATAAGTCTACACTACTTATGAATTCTAACACAATCCCCCTTAACTTGGTCATTTAGTGTGCATGACAAGAGTGTCACAGGTCAAGGTCATCAAGAAAGACAATTCAGTTTACAACAGAAATAGAAACCTGTTAAGTCAACATTGGTGCCGGTGCAGTACCTAACCCCATCAGCAAAGAATGCATGGTCATTGACATTACAAACAAACAAACAAACATTCTCAGAATCACCAGATTCATTAGTCGAGATTCTTGACTTCTCTTGCGACTTGAAATAAATTATTGAATTAAATCTTTGAGACAAAAAAAAAATAAAATATTTGATGTAAATACAATTACAAATGGAGTTGGTCTCCCCAAATTATGTCCTCTCCTATTTCACACCATCCCATATGTAGGTTTATTTACTTTCTTTGAATGATATTTTACATTTTACAAGGCTATTGTGTACATATTAACTGTAGATAGATGTGATTCATATTAGGCAGGGATGTTTGGTAGAACTACGTACATATGGTGTATTTCATCAAGAAATGGGCAAGGGAAAGAACACAGGGGACAAGAAACTCTTAGTGAGGCATGGGGATGAAAATCTGAAAAAATAGTCTGGCCTCAACAAACCACTGTTTGGAGTTATGCCCCTTTGTATCAGGTAGACATTGCAAACATTGATAATCTCGAAAGTTCGGTTTCAAACCAAACAGTGAAAACATGCAGGATTTCACTGTATTTGTACATAGATGACAACAAAATTGGCTTTGATCAAAACAGCCAACTTCCGACTGTGGGTGGGTGAGTGAGTATGGTTTTACACCACTTTTAGCAATAAGGCTGGAAATGGTACCAGTTAATGGAGAAAAGTAATCTGCGATGATGTTTTTTGGTCAACACGTGTTCTGATGGAATATATCATATTTGACACGAGGCTCATTCAATAGGAATGTTTAGAAGTTGAATGAATTGAAATGCAGTGTTTTCTTTGACATTGATATATCTGGCACAGGGGACATGATAATAATATGGGCAAGTCATATAAAAGTTCAGCGTCCTGTCGTTATGATGCAAAACAATCTGAATATTTCATAAACTGTTAGCACTTTGGAAACAAGTTGAAGAAAGATTTAGGTAAACTAAGAAAAGCTGCCCTTGGCTGCAGTAGCCAAATCAAGTCATCTGTGAGGGTAAGCCTTCCATTCACAACTTCATGATACAATAACTATGCTGTTCTCATCAACTACCCAAAAATAATTAACTCCTTTAATTTCTTGTGCAAAATTCAAAATGTAAACCTTTACATTTTTCTGATGATATATTAATGATTTATAATTTGATTATTAAACCATAATCAAAAGAAAAATAGTTGTAATAATTGGTCAAATTTGACTTGCTTAAATGATACAAGACAATTCTCAGAATGATATTTTGAAGATTTTCAATTCCACTCGCTATATGCACTGAAACAATAGGCTATTTTTCAAATGTTCATATTAACAAAAAAGTCAAAGTTTGCAATCACAGTCCATAAATGCCCAAACTACAAAGTATCTCCTTTCATAAGACAAAAACTTATAATAGCGTTAGCACCAATAGCAGTTTGTGCAAAGGCTTCCACTATCTCTTACTGTATGATGCATACTAATTACATGCTGAAAATGTCGACACCCATCCTACCTTGCTCATATGAAGACACAAAATTGAAAATAAATGCTTTTAAGTCATATTCAATGGTATCTCCAACAAATGGCTCCTTTTCACACCACTCATACTCCATATATATCACTTCATCTGCAACAAGATACAAAAATAGGCCCCTCTGTGTTAGTCACATAGTGGATAACAATTCATACAGATGTATCCCAGGTGTAACATATTGTTAATGAGCGTAGGTATAGTTCACAACCAGTTGTAAGATAGTTTTACGGTAAAACTTTTACCCATCATGCTTAGAGGCCGGGTCGAAGGGCAGGCAACCATGTTCCCCACTTGAGGCAGGAGCAGATATAGGTAAAATAGACAAACGCAAGTCTTGGGTAAGATTGTATGACAGTGATGAAGAAGATACTGAAGTATGTGTTAGGGTCCCATTACCTCCGCACAGAAAGGTAAGTCTGTACACTCTCTTGGGTATTTTGTGAATCACTGATGAATTATTTCTAAGGAACTCTAATTAAATGATCTCTGTTGAATCTCTTTGAAGGATCTCAGTAGAACCTCTTATGAGTAATCTCTGTTGATGATTTGCATTGAATCTCCTCTGAATGTTCTTTAAAGAATCACTACTGAATAATCTCTGTTGATCTCTGATGATGATCTCTGTTGATCTCTGATGATGATCTCTGATGATTGAGCTCATTGTCACTGATGAATGAGCAACAACAACCGCAGCCTCCACCAGTTGTTTATCCCCCACATCAGGGAGGGACTGGAAGAGTCGTGATGACAGCCCAATCCACAACGCATCTGCTCCGACTATCATCAGTTCATGTATAGTACCAGGCTCCCATCACTCCTACAGCTATGATCACATTGTGGAACCTGTACATCTACAGGTCCTATTGCAGGCATGGTGCTGCCATAGGTTCAGCACTTCACAGCAAGTACTGCAATGTTTGTATGGCGCCCATGGGAATGCAATGTACACTTGGTAACTTAGAATAAACCCTTAGCACTAGACTTGTGAGGAACTGCACTTCCTTGTTATCAGTGCATGACAACAGGGACTCCCATGCTTGACAACAGGGACTCCCATGCATGATAACAGGGACTCCCATGCTTGACAACAGGGACTCCCGTGCATGACAACAGGGACTCCCATGCTTGACTCCTGCATGTGTAGCAGTGCATGCAATGCTAGAGGCAACACTCATACCAAGCAGTAGTGGTATTGCATCCCTTGTGAGTTCCAGGGACTACTACACCCAGACTCCGTTGGGGTTCTTGCTGGCCAGGGCGTTGATGAAGGCCTGCTGTGTGGGGGTGCTGGGGCTGATGGACGGGCGGGGGGAGAGGCGCCCCTCCAGGATCTTCAACACAGCTGGAAGGAGAAACAGGCAATATTAGATATGGGTCTCTCTTACAGATCCCAGAGCATTCATTTAATAAAGAATCACCCCCATCCCATTCTCATCCCATTTTCAGCTCCAGCAGCATATACTAATCCCATCTCAGCACTTAGTCAAGACACGTGCCCTTTTCAGCTCTTGAAATCAAGAGGACTTGACAAGGCCTTTATACTTGACAATTTCTTTATCAAATTATTTATACCAGAACTTAACCTCACATATAACTGTATATCTGGAACTAAATGTTAGTCTACATTAGATATGTGTATGTATTTGCATTCGTACTAGCTCCTCTTATGAACATAGTGAGTTCAAACTAAGTCATGAAACAGACATGAGGTCGGGTTTTAGGGCATAGACTGTGCCACATGCTTCTCACTCATAAGTGAGTTGGATTGCTATATTCAATATTCCCACCAAATCAAGGCCATGTGGGGAATCAAACTCAAGACTATGGCATTACAAGTCACATTAACCATGAGGCTACCTAACTGTTCCTTAAGCTTCCCGCTAAGACCATCTTTACTCAGTGTCCAGCACCTGAGATTCAACTTACTCTCTCCACTGTCTGCTGACTTGCCATGAGTTGGGGATAGAGACTGAGTACCAAACTCTTGCAAGTTGACCTGTTTCAGATCTCCCTCAAGATCTTCAAACTCGGTCTCTTTCACTTTGAGCAACTTTTCCACTTTGGCAATCTCTCCTTCCAACTCCTCCAGTTCCTTCTTTCCCTTCTCCTGTTCGTCCTCCACCTTCTGAAGTTCCTTGTTCACTCCTTCCATGTCTGACTTACACTGGGTCTCTTTTGCCTGTCTCAATCGTTCTGCTTCTTTCTCTCGTTCTTCTCTTGCTTTCTGCGCTGTCACAACCTCTCCATCCAACTCCGTCAATCGTGCCTGCTGCGATGACAGCTGAGTCTCTAGCTCAGCCAGTCTCACTTTGAGATCGCTCATCTCACCATGAAGACGCTTTTCAGTTTTCTGTGCAACATCAAGAACATCTATCCACTGAATTGATGAAATCTCAGTTAATTCGACTTCATCTTCATGTTCCCTCTGCTCCAACTGAACAAGGTCATTTGTCAACTTATGAAAGTCATTCTCATACTCGCTCTCCTTCTCTTCCAGCGACACAATCTCTGTAAACAGATTAATCAGGTCACATTTCAGACAGTGAGGAATTTACATATGAGTGAGTGAGTGTTTTTATGGATACAACTTTTCAAGAATTGGCTTAAAAAATATTCATATATTTTCCATGAAAGCTTGAACATATATTCTTGTGAAAAAGGTCTTTACAAGGCATGAGAACGATGGGCGATTAGTTCCACATCTGAATCCACCAAACAATATTTCATTAATTCCTTTGTTTCAAGGCAATTAATATACTTAAGAAGAGGTTCTCATGTAACTCAGAGGTGTACATGTATTCGACAGACAGGACAATCAATGTAAACATATACTATTTTCCCTAAAACATATCCCAAACATATAATCTTTGCACTTCACATATTGCGTGCCACATCTCTTAAAACTCAAACATCAAACAAAACAAAATAACAAACAAACAAAAATATCTGCTATGTGTACGTGGCTAGTATATTGATTACATTTCTTAAATTCATCTGTAAAACATTCATGAAACATGCCATGTGGTCATGAATGCACTGAATTCCTTGAAATACAATAAAGAACTGATGTCAACATGCAATGTTTTAATCATGAAAAAACTACAATGGTGTTGGCAGATCATGAAAACTGTTACATACACTGGACTGAACTAAAGTCTCCTTATTTAACAATGAAACGTTTGTCTCATTCTGCACAATAATGTCTTCACAAGCCTACTGATGTTAGGTGATGATGCAGGGGGAGACAGGGGAGGAGGCGAACAGGGATAGAAATGGTTTTGTATTCAAGTGAACTGCAGGCACTCATTAAGGTGTTCAGGTGTGCATGAACACACAATGCCATTTAGAAAGTGGTCAAATGTAACAAATGTTATATTTGGGATTACACTTTCTAAGTAAAGTACAGATTCCTGGGGGGGGGGGGGGTCGCTGTGTGAGACCATCACGTGCACTTTGGAATTTAAGTGTGCCAACAAGAGAATACTTTTGAGCCATCACTGAAATTGGTGAATGTCACTTCCCCATAAGCTTGATAATAAGCAGTTGTAATTTTATTCAATCTGGCACATTCCTGTAACGACTTTCAAAAAGTTATACATGGAGAAAGGGAGGTAACTCCAGAACAAGTTCACTGGAAATTTGGCCTGAATGCAGTCACTGAAAGATTTATTGAACTAACGGCAAGGAAGTAGGCTGGTTCTGGTGCCACTTGTAAATTGTGGTTTGTGGTATTTTTCACCATTTACCATATATCTTGTTCAAGTTCCTTTGTCAAATGTCATAATGAGGTAATTAGGCTAACGGTTCTCAGACATGGTTCACAGTTTCTATCTGTAGAAAGTCCCAAATAGCATGACAGTTCCGTTCTCGTGAATATATTATCCAGAAATGAACACTACAACCCTTCTGGTTGTCAAGCTACACTCTGGTAATAAAAGTAACCTGTACTTGGTTTGTTGCCACGGAAACACAAAAATATTTTTTTTCAGAAATAACTCAACATGTGTGAATGAGTATGGTTTTACACCGCTTTTAGCAATATTCCAGCAATGGTGGGAGACACCAATAATGGGCTTCCCACATTGTACCAATGTCACCTAAACATGAAAAGGCACCAGTTCAGCATGTGTTTGATTCATACGAGATGCAGAGTTTCATCAATGAGACTGAAAAATGGAGCACATGGAGGGACTGACTGGCAGCACCCATCCCTACTGCCCACTTCGAATTCATGGGGGGCGTAGGGGATGAGTGATTTATTAACTTGTCATGTGAGAACACAAACTGTTTGAACGACCTTGCTAGCTCGTCTGAATGGAGAAGAATGTCACACACAATCGTTGCAAATTAAGTAATGCGATATGTATCATATCAAAACTTAAGTATCATGATACATATTGATACATGAAGTCGGCAGATCATAACACCCGTATTAATAGCTTTGTTTCCGATCCTGTAAACAAGTTTACTAGACACAGGACTCCTGCCGCAAGTCCCAGACTGCAGGCATTAACTTGTGACATTGCTTGTGTTTCATTACATACACAGACTAACATTTAGTCCTCGAAGTAAAGATATGTTATGTAAAAGCATATAATCCAAATGGAGCCCAGATCAATGCTTAGACTGTATGGCAATCTAGACTTACCAAATCTTTCTAGACTTGAGTTGGATTTATTTTGTAATTTTGTCCATAGGTCTGCGTGAAAGACTATTATATTCAGAGAAACTATAGATAGTGACTCCAGTGCTGAATAAGTGTTGTATATTGACATTCAAATTTTTCATCAATGTATAACTTGTAATGTCATCAACAATTAGGTCATGGGCAACTGCTATGCACTGAGAGTTCATCCACATGTTTCACACCTAACTAACAGCAATTCAAATCCTAGTTATTACAATGCTCAGTCACACACACAATTATCAAATCAACACAGTGAAGTCCAAACATCACTGCTAACTACTTTGCCCAATTTAACATCAACGAAATGTCACTCAGTCATTTTAGGCCCCTAACAGTCAAAGCCCTATAATTAGTTGTGCCAATCTTGATGGTAATGAAAGGTCAACATTGTTTCAATACAAACGGTTGTATTGTTGTGCTATGTCACCTTGACTGACAGCAACAAGGACATCATGAAAAGGGGCAATGAATCTGAAGCTGATCATGGTGAATACAGGTGTAACTACACGGAATGGAACTGCCATTGTATCAGGGAGGAGGTATGTTTCCGTACATGAGGCCAGACCTTTTTCTTGGTCTATAAACAGATTTTGAGAGTAAAAAATTGGGTTGGTAGGTCAGAAAAAAACCAAACTAAAATAAAATGCACAGTACAGAATTTTTTTAATCATCTAAAGTCTGATTTGGATTCTTCGGTGATAATGTTTGTTTTTTTATCTTGGGGTCCTTTTAAATGTCATAAATCTAAAATTGTATTGGCGATTCCTTTTTGGAAAATATTCTTTATCAGTCATATAAAAATCCCTTGGATAATTATTATTGTCAGAGGGAATTAATTTGGATTTTTAGGGATGATGGATCCGCAAACCAAGCAAAAATCTACGTAAGGCCTACCCCGGTAAGTGGCATTACACTTTCAGGGGCACGGGTTGCCCAGTCGTCTAAGGAGCTGTGAATCGGTGTGCAGAGTTGCGTCCCTTGGACACGCCAGAAACCTATGATTGTGGGTTCGAATCCCGGTTCGCCCTGAATATGTTTCTAGGTTTGTCAGCACCATACCCATGCTCGTGGGTTTCACCGAAGTGGTAAACGTCTGAGACCTGCATCACTTCGGGCTTTCCTCCTACATTAAACTGACACACCATGATATAACTGGAATACTGTTAAAAGCGGCGCTAAACCCAACTCACTCACTCACACACTTTCAGTCACTGCAACCTAAACCAGCCCAACCCTGGCTTCATACAGTAACTCTACCAGGTCAACACAATGTTACCTGGTATAAACTCACCCCAAAAATGTGTGACATTTAGTTAATTTTGTATACTTTGAACGTCCTTAAAAGAGTGTTTCTGGCAGTATATTGGAGTTAAATTTGAAGGAAGAAATACTGACAGTATTCTTATCAATACTTTCTGAAAGCATATCATGAATATTTGATATCCTTGTCATGAGTGAGTGTGTCGGTTTAGTTTAACGCCACTTTGAACATTAGTCATGGTATTTCAGTTGTTATACACTGGAGAAAAACCTGGAGTGATGCAGGTCTCAGATGTTTACCTCTTTGGTGAAGCTAACAGGCACTGGTATAGAGGTGACTTAGGACTTCAAACAAAGACATTGCATCTTGAACATCTTGAATAACTTTGGTAATTATAGATTATAAATCACTTACGAAAGCATTTAATTCAAGATGTGTGTTTTGAACAAAATGCCTGCCACAGACCCCTAGTGTGAACACTTCTGAACCTCAGTAGAACCTCTCAATAGATTGTCCTCGAACAATAAAATCACCAATAATTAGAAATATAACATAAAATGTTACAAAATCTTGGCTGACATTAAGACCTTTACGATCAACCATGCATTGTACACGGAGGAAACCTCTAATAACAAAACCCATTCACAGATTGACTATTCTGTTTCTTCCCCAGGAAATGAATTATTCATAGTTCATGTGACAAAGCTGGGAATAAGAATGTATAATAGATAAAGGCTTCAGATAGGGACATGAAGAATGTATGAGAGCTCACTGATACCCATCTGTTCCAGCTTGTTCCCCCAAGAGCTGCTACATATAGGCCTTGTTCATCAACATGATCTACCTAGCCAGACCAACACAATTTCATCAATCTGTCATACATCCCATGCAAGTCTATAATAGTTGGCAAGTCTACATTACTGCAGGCTCTGAAAATGAAGAAAGTCTCTGAGCTTCTTTTATTACATATAATAAAGATAATTTAACAACTGCCTTTTTTCTGTAAAATATTTTCATTTCAGAGACTAGATGTTTGACTATAATTTCATGTTTGAACATATTTAGGCTATCTTTCGTTAATTCTTGAAAAAAAAGTTACAATTTATAATTGTTGTGTTGTATAGATAAATACAATAATATGTGACTTTTTTCACAAACCTTTGATTCTATTTTCTTAAAATTTATTTTTAACATTAGTTGGAGGAATGAATGTTAAACTTAACCTTTGTCGTACTATTGCCTCCTACACCTTCACATATTGACCAGGAAAGGCAGCTTAACTAGAAAATGAATGGGTCTGGTTTAAAAGGAAATATAAAACTTAGACAGAACCAAACAACTTCATTTAAATTAGGAAGGAGCCCCAGTGAGATTCAGAACCTGTGGAAAATGTAGACTTGCTTTATTTAGGGCTATAGCATTACAGTAAGGGATCGGCGGAAGGGAAACTACTGTGGTTCAGGGACTGTGAGACAGACTAGGTATTCTTCATACAGCCGTAATAACATGAACTAACATGTCTCAAACCTGATCACGGCCTCTCATCAAACATGAAACATCACTGCCAAGGTCGAGTAACCATTGCCTTTAACATCCAATTGGATTAACAACTGAATAATTGAACGAATTGTTCAGACAAAATATGACAATGGTCGTAGCATGTATGCCTCAATGGGCTGTGTCAGTGTAGTCTTAAATTACAGTAATACCATCCCCAACAGAATATCAAATCACATGTGAAGGTTATACTGTTAAAATTTGCATAAAGTTGGCATTATCAAGCTGAAGAGGAAAAGAGATTGTGACTTATCCTCAACATTGATGAATTGGATGATTTTCATTCTTTCATATTTTAAATTCTATCCAGAATTGATAAAATTGAAAATAAATATGTTCATGTAAAACGTTTATATATCAAAAGTTGTTAAACTAGGTAAGGCAGCATACATTTTTTAAATTCTTCTTGGGCTACCAATTTTTCTCAAAACTGAAGAGGGTTGTAGGACTTTATTTCAATGGCTCAGTGAAAACAAAAGTGATGCACACTTCTATGGCAGGGACGGGTAACTTGGGTGGGGTGGGTTCTGAGTAGGACCCGGGTACCCACCAGACTACCCGGACCCATAGTTAGTCATGTGATATATTGTTTCATGACAAAATTTATCTAGAACTCCATGGTTACACTACAAGTCACTAATGTTCGCATTTCTTTCTGACTAGGCACACATTCCCTCCGGCTTTCATATGTTTCTATAATGATAAAGCTTCAGTCAACTTCAGTGTATGCATGACCAGATCGTTTTGCATGTGTATTTAAAACAATTCCCAATCAGACATTTTGTACCTATTTCTTGAAACCTACAACAGGTACCTGGGTAGGGTCTGGTAATGGATGGGTGGGTATCCGGGTAGAAAATTTGGACTTGTCTCAGCCCTTTAACACTTCTTACTTCTTTCCCACCAAGAATACGGCCCATACACAACTGGGCACACATGCAACTTGGCCCTTAAACAATGCTACATATGATGTCAGTTGTCAAGCATGTCATTTTATGGATAACAGAGTAAGCTCCAAATGACAAGGAAATGAGCAAAATACTATCTTTATACGCAATAAAAATGATTGATGCATAAGATTTAAAGTGATGCCAATGCCCGAGAAACATTTTTTTCTCTTTTTTAAGCTTACAATGTGTCTGTGTTCGGTGTCTGTCTGTCTCTCTGTGTGTGTGTGCCTGCGTGTGTGCCTGTGTGTGTGTCTGTGTGTGTCTGTGTAGGACCATAGAGACAGTAGTTGATTTATGGCAAATCAATTACTTTTATCGATACCTTCCACATGGGTAACAACAACCTGACCAGTATTATTAGTTGCATGAATAATAATCCAATAAAAGTGTCAGGTATTCTATTTGCCTAAATAGTTACCCTAAACTGTCAAGTGTTCTTGTAGCGTTTTAGTATCATATAACCAGTCACTCGCTTTATCCATACGATGTCTCTATATAAATGAGTGCGCACGTGTAACAGCGCCGGAAGTGTGTGTTGTGCGCTAGCAGACCACATGGCTGCCGACTACACTTGACTGAGTGTATTGACATGTAATAAGAGAATACAACCTTTCCCCGGAAAGCCGAGTGTTTGTTGTAGCTGCCAAAGTCATCACAGTTCTATTGAAAGATCATACCAATTTAATAGATTGTTCTGCAGATTTCTTAAGGCAAGTGTGCCAAAAAGAATGCTCTTGAAATGTGTTTTCAACAAAAATAAAGTTAAACTACATATTTTCAAATTTACATTGCACTTAATTTACACATATTTTGTTTATATTTGTAAAAATTATGATAAGTCTGGTCTGGAAAATAACAACAAACAACATGAAGTAAGTTATGATTGCGTCAACTGCAACATCTATGAACAACCATAATCTAATCTCGTCCATGTGCCAATAATTCTTCAAACTTTACATGAATACTACAATATTGATTTTGGAACTACTTTTTACCTATTTAGTTTGGAATATTTCAATAGATAATGTCAACCTGCCTTATGTACATTTCCTTTTCAACTGATCCTAATAACTGCCAATATTTGCCAAGTTGACAAATCATGAAGTATTCCCCCCTTCCTCCAATAGGACTACCAGATTACCATGTTTGCTGTGGATGATGCTGTTATACACATATGAACAGAACCACTTCACACCTTATATGTGTATTGTCGTGAAATTCCTTTCAGTCGCGACAATCCAAGTGAAATACGAAATAAATTTATTAATGCTCTTTCATCCACATTTGCACAACTGTGACAGTTCCTGCCATGACAGATTATCTATAGTAATACGAAAGAATCAGCTGTTCTTTAACTTCTTTTCAGTTCATGCCATGACTGATTAACTTTAGTTATGCAAAAGAACTGTGTTCTTTAGGCCACATATTTTTTGTTTTTGTTTCACAGGCCCACCACCCCTAATGAAAAGCAGCTGGAAAAGTAATATATATATAAAAATTACTAATTTTTCTATATCTCCTGATAATAATATAACCCTCTCATAGAATAAAAAATGTTAAAAATAAATTCCATGTCTACATCACTATCAGTGATTCAAGAAGCCAGCTGCAGTTACTCCACAGCAGAATGACTTTCATATAAATAAATAAATGATTGACATGGCTATTTATTTTTATTTTTATTTTCGTGTGAAAAAGCTGGAATAAATCTGTGAAACATAAAATAAAGAAAGTGTCACCTTAGCTTCCTTTCAGTTCATGCCATGACAGACCAACTATAGTAATATGAAAGAATTGGTTGTTCTTTAACTTCTTTTGAGTAGTATATGTTGAGGAAAAGCTTTGACAAACACCAACAATTTTAAATTACGAGAAATTAACATTATTATATGAAAACAAAGTGCTCAGATTTCCATGGGCAGTTACAGATAACAATACATCACAATAGAATAGGGCTATAAGCACTGGTTAATCAGGATGCAAATTATAAAGAACACTGATACCACAGCATTCAAACACCAATGGACCAAATTGAAAAAACATGATCATCTCCTTCAACGATTCCTTCTCAAGTGTTTATCTACATCCTACTGCCCGACCAAGTCCCATCACCCTGTCAAGTACCACAGCTAGTCTACACTCCCTGTCCAGCCACTAATAGCTCCGGAACAACTCCCACTCAACTCCTGTTCACACACACTACCCTCAAGCCTGGCACAACTATTGTGTTTTTTTGTGTTGTATTTACTTATGCACATCACATTTGTTTATATTCACAAAGTGTCCTCTTTGTGAGAATTGGGCTCATCAATCATCCACATCAATAGAATATTGATCAATTTCGGGACCATATACATCTCTACATACTGTACTGTCCAATCAATGAACAGAACCATTCTCCTCAAATAGCTGGTCATCTTTGCTGTTTGCTTTTGGCAAAAGAAGTAAACACAGACATTGATAAAGATGGTTTCTTGTAAAACAAATATTTCAGAAATGTATATAGCCCGCCTCAAGCCATTTATATGATATACAAAGGCCTATCCCAGGCATTGATTAGATTGTGTGGGGGGACGGACTGAAATTGTCCCCAAGCCTGACCACTTGATCCATGTGGTCTCCTCCTATGACCAGAATAGTTTGCTGGAGATTAATTCTAACCCAGCATCCCCACAGGGTTTAATCCTAGGTCTCTGAGGTCCACTAAATGAAATTAGCATCATTAGAATTAAATTCATCTGAAGCTGTTTGGTCTGTAAGGACTGTCAATTCCTCATAACATTAGAATCGAATGAACTCAAAGTTAACTACGAGCTGCTACGAGAAGTCAGAAACAAGGGCTCTGTAACTCACCTAGCTCAAAACAATATTTTCATGTTGGGGAAGGAATGTCCTGGTACTATCACAAGTGTTCCAGCATATTTTACAGTTGTTGACTATCTGTCCTCCCTACTTTAGTTCTCTTTGTCATTATCATGCATATAAAGTTCACATGTGTGGCCTCAAAGTTACTGAGGAGATTGTTAAATATCTGTAATTTATTCTTTATTCCATTTAGAACCATTTTGAATAATCAGACGACAAGTAGAAGATAGCGCTTCAGCACCATTGTCTACAAAACCTGAAATTTATTGCTAAATGACACTTTGAACAAACCTACAGGGCCCCGTTCCTCAAAGCGATCTTAGCACTAAGATGATCGTAAGCCTATGTTAAAGTATGGGACTTACGATCACCTTAAGGCTAAGATTGCTTTGAGAAACGGGGCCCAGGAAACTAATTGTCATAATTATAAATCATGCCAAATAGCAGCTCCCATCTTGTTGCTTACTGTTAGATCTTCAGGCAAATTGGAATGAATATTAAGTACCACTTACAAAAATGGAACACATGCGCAACATCTAGTTCTTTGTTGCTTTGATATTTCCTCAAGGGGAGACTACTCACCAGTTTCTATGACATCCAGTTGAGATTCTTGTACTTTTAACCTTTCCTTCTGCATCGACACAAGACGTAAGAGTCGTGCCTTCTCTGGTTCTGGTTGATTGCTTTGTGGGTCATCTAGTCGGTACTCCGTGTGCACTGCCGTCCTCTCTGGACACTTTGAATCCCGTAAAATATCAGGAAAATTAACGTCTAAGTCATACTCCTCTAGATCTGTACTCCCCTGGTGGGAATGTCTTGGGCTATCTAAGGTATGTTCCTCTGCTGTTATTGTGTTCAAGTTACTATAAGTGCTATATCGAGTGGGTGAAGAATCCAGCTTATGGTGTATTGGGGAATCTCTCCCATAGGAATTGGGCGATGGTGAATTGCGTCTATATGTGTTTGGAGAGGGTGATCTTCCCCTGTTTTGGTCAAAAGTTGACACTGATAATTGGTGATTGGCTGGCGACAGGTTATTTATAGACCTGGATGGTAGCTGACGAACAACACTTGGTTTGCTTGGTAGGGCTGGTATTTGACCATTGAGAAGTGGGGAGTGCCTGGGTGCTGGTCTCGGTAGGTTTCCGGGGGAGTTCTGTCTTGGTGCTGGCACAGGGTGGGGCGACGACCTCGTTGATGAGGTTGAAGAATGAGATGATGACCGAGGACTGATGCCATTCTCTAACAAAGTTCCTCGTTTCAAGTTTGCAGGGCTAAGGCTGCAACGACTGGATGAAGTATTGTGGGCACCACTGAATGTCAGATTGCGTTTGACGACATTTTCCGAATGTGTTTTTGGCGGGGAGAAGTTGTGTGAGAATCTGTCCGGTTGTTTATGTCGATCTCTCTGTTTAAGTTTTTCCGTTTCAGACTGACACAAAAATAGTTTCACCTCTGATGAATATTCTCCCCATTTGTGCAACACCTTTAAAGGGTGCTCTCCAGGGGTCAAAGGTCTTTCCACATCACGCCACTTCTCGATAAGAGTAAATCGACCGGTGCGGCCCATAGAATGAGCAAGTGCTATGACGACATCCTGGCAAGTGGTATCTGCAGTAACTCCGCACACCACTCGCTGGATCCCGTCCACCCAAACTTTTAACTCCATCATTGTCTCCTAGCAACCATACTTAAATCACATGACACCTCACAAGCATCAAACATTGTAAAATGGATATTTAACACACAGAGTCCACTATTCAAACTATCCAACAAGAAAACACAAGGAAACAATCCCCTTTTTGTAGCAAATCCTCCTTCTGAGAAAAACACCAATCACTGTGGCACTAGGTCATGGGACGAAAGTGAAGTGTATAAATCCTTTATTCACTAGCAGTGGGAGGCACAAGACACGTATCATCTTCCTGCACAGACTTCAACTGTCATACCGTCTTAGCTCTCAGGCCTGTTACTGTCATAATGCTGTCATCGCCCTCCTACGACAGGCAAGTCATGTGATCTGTGTGTACTTCCTCCAGCAGGTCTTGTGACATAGATCAAGCATTCACCGTTGGAAACATCACACCCACCTGTCAATGTCACATCTGAAATATAGCACAAGCAAATATATAGGTATATGTTAGCAGATGTTATACAACTTAACATGGGGCATGTGTCCAGCTTAGGACCACTGTCTCATTCCTCACACAGTTGAACACTCTCTGAGAGGTTAGAAGCACATCAACAAGATGACTACAGTAAGCCAGGGATAGACACAATCAAGTCTGCAAGTCCAAAAACTTGGACTACAGCTGAAATAATATTTATTCAATTTCTGTGTCTGAAATTAAGCATGAATATCAAGGGGTCCTTGTCATTTTCGAAAATGTTAAAAGCTCAAAATTTAGGGGGTCCCTAGGACCCCAGTATCCACACTGCATATTTTCATATGGAGGACTGATGAACAGGCTATACTGAACCTAAACCAAAATAGTTATGGATCATGAATAATTTTGGTGATATTTTTATGAAATTGTGTGCTCATTCTTCACTTCAAACCAATATCCCCTAAAAATCAAAGATCACTTTTCTTGTTCAGTATAGATTCCTATCTGATCATCTCCCATAGAAGTAGTACTAGTTGTTGTTTTCTAAAACATAACAAAGTAAACGAATAGCCTGAATTGAGTTGTGAATTAGTTGGGATAAATATGAGATGTCCCTGTACACAAACAGCTTTCCATGCAATCCTAATACCATCAGTATGCCATTCCAAAACAATGAAGAAGTTAGGGCTGGGACGAGTCCAAATTTACTACCCGGGTACCCATCCCCCTATTACCCGACCCTACCCGGGTACCCACTGTAGGTCTCAGGAGATGGGGACAAAATGTCCAAATGAGAATTGTTTGACCAGAGCCCTTGCATAAAGTATTTAGGTACACTACATAACGATCTAGTCATGCATACACTGAAGTTGACAGAAGTTTTATCATCATTCAAACATATGAAAGTCAGAAGGAATGTGTGCATAGTAAGAAAGAAATGCTAACATTAGTAACTTGTAGTGTAATCATGGAGTTTTGTTATTAAACAATATGTCACGTGACTAACCACAGGTCCGAGTAGTCTGTGGGCACTTCTTACTCAGCACCCACCTGACCCGAGTACCCGAGTTACCCGTCCAAGCTGTAGAAGAAGTAATATTTGATCTGATATAGGTATAAAAAGCTCAGCTCTTTTTACATTTCTGGACAAAATATTTGGAGCTGCATTAAAAAGAAATACTTTGAAGAAGGGAAAAGTCACACCACTTGATTGTTAGATATTTGAAACATGATCGTCAGGAACATTCCAGGAAAAAAAAATGAGAACAAAGACAAGAGGAATGAAACTATATCAAACTTGTTCCCTCCATCAGCCTGGGGTGACATTGATAATAATGACCTTACATTCCAGATGAACCCACAGCCCCGGAGCAGACGTGTGATAGATGAGGAGGCGGCCATGTTGCACGGGCATCACACATGGGAGGGAAGTCAACCCCTGCATGCCAGTGTCGATAGAAACACACAAACCTGGGGATGTCCTGCTCAGAAAAGATGTTTCTGTGTCTATCTTCAAGTCTATCTCCTATTCTAAATCAACCTTATTTCTGCCATGAACTTATTTGGTCAAAAATAATCTTAGCTTATAATTTTATAACTTATAAACTCCAAAAGAAAGGAAACACTTGAAATGTTGGCAACCAAAAAACTTGATTAGTGAGTGGGTTTAACGCCACTTTAAAAATATTTCAGTCACATCATAGCTATGAGTCTAATGTTGGTGGAAAGCATGAAGTGACGTAGGTCTCCACGTTTATAACTTTGGGGAATCTTGGCTTCAAACCCACAATCTAGAGTACATAAAAAGTTTCAAGGTCTCAAAAACTACTTATTTCAACTGGGGTAATCTTTCTAAAAGAATTATTTTGATACAAATACCAATTAAACACGGAAAAGTGAAATCTCCATTTGTTACTATGTTGAATGCAATATTTGTTGAATGTGGTGTATACATACGGAACCTGTTGACAGAGCTGTAATAATGAGGCAGGTTCTAGGCTTTATCAGTCTTTTAACTCTAAGCAATCGAAAAACAATTGGACTTTAAAAAGATCTAACCCTGTTGAATAGACACATTTACATTCCTGTAAGGTACATTGAAAGTAAACTTGAGAACAGTGAAGTGCAAGGTCATCAGTTTTGTCTTTATTTAAACATCAACTAAACTTGATATGGAAAAGCAAATCCAACAAGTATTTGTCACAGAAGTGACGAAATGTCCCCCGCCTGTATATACACCAAAATACCAAATATGAAGACAATCCAGCGATTAGTTCTTGAGATATCGCGGCAACACCGTTTTCCAACTCCAAAAGCAGATTTGCCTGCGGTGACCTTGAAAATAGGGTCAAGGTCACCAAAACCGACTGGTGTCTGCGGTGTCTGTATATACACCATAGTTCCAAATATTAAGACAATCCTGCGATTAGTTCTTGAGATATCGCGGCAACACCGTTTTCCAACTCCAAAAGCAGATTTACCTGCTGTGACCTTGAAAATGGGCTCAAGGTCACCAAAACCAACTGGTGTCTGCGGAGTCTGTATATACACCCAAGTACCAAATAGGAAGACAATCCAGAGATTAGTTCTTGAGATATCGCGGCAACACCGTTTTCCAACTCCAAAAGCAGATATGCCTGCTGTGACCTTGAAAATGGGGTCAAGGTCACCAAAACCGACTGGTGTCTGCGGAGTCTGTATATACACCATAGTTCAAAATATGAAGACAATCCAGTGTTTAGTTCTTGAGATATCGCGGCAATAAACAGGTGGGACGTACGGACGGACGTACGGACGGACGTACGGACGGACGTGAATACTATATCCCCCGCTTCGCGCTTTCGCGCAGCGGGGGACAAATATATGACATTTATTACCTTGATTACACTGAGAGTAGATACTGGTTATTAAACAAAAGAACATTCAGAATATATGTACTTTCTAAAAATAGATCAATTCTCAGAATAACTATTTAAAAAGATTCTTTTCTTTCAGATCAATCGCAATTGCCATAGATCAATGATGCACATAAATTAATGTGAGGGGGCTACTTCAGTGTCTAAATCATTCCTAGACATCAGACAACAGACAGCCACTGGAGCCACATGGAGACAATGGATCAGACAACAGACAGCCACATGGAGACAATGGATCAGACAACAGACAGCCACATGGAGACAATGGATCAGACAACAGACAGTCACATGAAGACAATGGATCAGACAACACACAGCCACTGGAGACCCAAGGCAAGACTCATGGACCCACCAGGCAGACACACCACACTGGACACTTTGAAGACACACCAGTGCTTATCAGACTCAGGGTCATGAGATAAAGGACTAATTATGGGTAGACCCATATATCTGTCTGGAGGCCAGCTAATTGTGGGTTGAGGACTACTTTGTCACCAAGCTGTAGACAAAGCTGTCTTCCCAGTGGTCGGCATGGCTCTTGAAACAAGTAGGGTTTCCGCCAGGGTGTCAACAACACAGCTGTCATGGCCACCTTGTGGTGTACCACAGTTCCTCTAAATTGGGAAGATAGAATATGTAACAGTAATGACCACTGAAGAAGAATGATTTGTGGGGTTGGCTTGGAGAGGGTTTAAATACCTGTTCATTCATGTCTTACAAGAAATGTGCTTTTAGCGCTTAGGTTATTACTTCGGCCAATTCACTGTTGTTAAAGTTTGATGTTAGTAGGCAAGTAGTTGGTGAACTGGCTATCATGAGGGCCTGTGAGTAGTTAAATCTGGAACAGAAACACCAGTAGCTGATAGAGCAAGCTACAATGTTTGTCTGAGTTGGGTTTAACGCCGCTTTTAACAGTATTCCAGTTAAATCACGGCGTGTCAGCTTATTGTGGGAGGAAAGCCTGAAGTCATGCAGGTCTCAGACGTTTACCAGTTCAGTGAAACCCACGAGCATGGGTATTGTGCTGACAAACCTAGAAACATAATCGGGGCGAACCAGGTTCAGCCCACAATCATAGGCTTCTGGCATGCTCTAGGGTCGCAACTCTGCACAGCGAATCGCAGCGCCTTAGACGACTGGGCCACCCGTGGCCCCCCAGCTACAGTGTAACCCCCTGATCACATTTTAGTCGCATATTCCCACAGGTGTTGGGCACTGAGCATCTATACTGCACATAATCCCCTGCTGCTAAAATCATATTCTCTTATCACAATGGTGTTTTTGAACCTTCTTGTTGTCTTGCAAAGGCGAGAACACCTTCACCGACTTAAATTCATCCTCACTAACTGACACCAATATTGTTTCAACACCACTAACACAATGTTTTTGAACATTAATCTTGCCTTGAGAGAAGCAAGATATCTTTACTGACATAAAATCATACTTACTCATTAACTCCCATATTGGATTTAACACAACCATAAGATGGTCCTGAACGTTCATCCTGCTTTGTATAGACTAGAATGCCTTCACCTGACCAACATACACATCATTCCAGTACATCAAACAATTCCACATCCTCCAACATACAGACATCGAGCATCATTAAGAGTGATTATATTCATCAACACACTACTAATGAAATACAAGATCAATACCTATAAAGCATCCCCCAGGACACGGGGGTGGGATGAAGTAAACAGTACCTGAAGAATTATACAGGTAGCGTACCCAACTCCTACGGAACTGGCTAATTATAGGATGCTGGAAACAACAATTTCTGCAAATGAACCAAGCATGACATTCTGCAGGTACATACATGTCCCCAAATGGTTTTCTCTTCATTGTCAATCAGGGGACTATTTTCAAAGTCTGCACTAATCTACACTGAATATTCTTAGCAGGGTTGTACTTTGACTTACAAAAGTGGAGGTTGAGGGGACCTCCTAGACTAACATCTAGTATCTGAAATGAACATATCGTACAGAAAAAAAACAGTTGTTAGATTATCTTAATATAAATATAATAAAAAGGAGGCCTGAGACTCTCTTCATTTTCAGATACTGCAGTAATCTAGACTTG